AAAATATAGGAATCACTGCTAATTAAAGGATTTTCAAATATCCATCATGATTATAAAGAATTATTTGTTAGATTTCTGCCCTTTTTTGCAGTTATCTGCCTTTTCAAGCATCCTCCCAGTGCTGTTTGCTATTCTGTGTAATAGTTGGTAATTGAAAGGTATATACTCTTCCTGTAGCTAGATTGAGCACCACCATAACACAGTCTAAACAGAATAAATTATATGTGTTTCTAAAATATGAGAAGCATTAAACATTTTTATATTAACTTGGAATATTAATAATTTCAGTCTAAGACTTGCAAAAATAAAAACAGTACTAAGAAACCTGAATTAACATTGGTGCACCTTCATTATCCTCTCCTCCCCTTCCACAGATCCCACAGACCACAGTCCTTGAGGCCTAGACATTTCAGCATTTTCCCTGAGAGCAGAGATAGTCTCACACAATCACAATAGTCAGGGATTGCATGCCAGACACTAGGGCCATTGTTCCGTGCTGTATCTTTCTGCTTAAATGAAAAGGCTTCTCTAGCATTTTGTAACTAAATCTTCTCTAGGATGAAGTTGTGTGGAAACAGTTTGATTCCTTCAAGGCCTGTTTTAAGCTTTGTGAGGCTAGTTCAGATAAGAAAGAACAGCCTTCAGTCCCTGTTGAGGGAACACTCTTCTACATATTGTACCAAATGCTTGGCTATTACAATGCTTGCCCATGCTGGCTATGGGGAAGATGAACTCTTTCTAGGCCTGTGTAATACCCAAGACCTTCCCAGGCTTCATGAGCCACACAGATCAGCATGAGGCTGCAGATGTCTAGACAGTCTCTGCAGATCTCCAGACTTCAATCTTGAGGTAGAGAATTGACCTTCTCCAGTCTCCCCCCCCCTGCAAGTTTTAGCCACAGTGAGCTCTCCAGATCCTTTTGTAAATTGTCATTTAAAAATTATTACACAGCCTGGTCTACAGAGCGAGTTCCAGGACAGGCTCCAGAACAATACAGAGAAACCCTGTCTCGAAAAACCAAATAAATAAATAAAATTATTATACAAAATTCTTATTATAAAAAATGAAACTGCTTAAGGAAAACATGTCAAGAACTCTCCCAGAAGGACCCCAACAGCACAGGAAATAACCTTAAGAGTTGACAAATGGGATTATATACAATTAGAGGGCTTCTGCACAGCAAAGGAAACTATTGCCAGGAGGAAGAGACAAATCTTAATCAGCTATACTTCAGAGAGAAGGCTATCATTTAAAACACAAAGAACTAGTCAAGCACGGTGGCACACCTTTAATCCCAGCACTCAGGAGGCAGAGGCAAAGGCAGGCGGATCTCTGAGTTTGAGGCCAGCCTGGTCTATAGAGTGAGTTCCAGGACAGTCAGAACTGTACAGAGAAACCCTGTCTCAAAAAGTGGGGGTGGGTTGAAAAATGAGACCAAATGTCAATCTTTGGCCTCTAATGCATGTGTGTATGCACGCATACTCCTGCACTATTGTGCGCAAGTGCATGCTTGCTTTTAGCTAACAAGGGCTAACAAGTAGTTAATGTGGAAGATCAGAAAAGCAGAGCTGTGGAAATGATCATTCTGCAACCATCATAGCTAAGAGTAATCAGTCAGACAAGAGTCATGGGTAAGTACTAACTTTAGGAGAGATCTTAATAAGCAACAGGGCATTTCCATGGCCTTTTACTGTTTCTCCTCAGGTTACCAGTTAGTTGTGTTGGAGAAAGAATAGTATTGGTGTCACATGAAGAAACACATGAACAAAACTACCACCTTTTTTTTTTTGAGACAGTCTCATTGAACCAGGACCTCGCTGATTAGCTAGACAGCAAGTTCCTGGGATCCTCCTATTTCTATCACCTCAGCTCTGGGATTACAGGCACACACAGCATCCAGCTATGTGAGTGTGAGTGTTAGGGATCCAAACTCAGGTCCTCTTGCTCACGTGACATGCTCTTTACTGACTAAGCCATCTTCCCAGCTCCTAATAATCTTGATGACTTTTTTATTCCATAGTATCAGTCACAGAGTACAATAAATTACGGTGGCTCTGTAATTTCACCCAGTCCCATTTGTCACCTCCTGACATTATTTCCTGTACTATTGAGGTCCATTTCAGAAAGTGTCTGCCTATGCTTGTATCTTGAAATGTTTTCCCTATATTTTCATCTGGCATCCAGTGTTTAGGGTTTTATACTAGGATCCTTTATCCATTCTGAATTCCTTTTTGTAATGTTATTAAAGCACAATGACTTTGTATAATGTTTTATTGTTTAGGCCAGGCGTTGGTGGCGCACGCCTTTAATCCCAGCACTCGAGAGGCAGAGGCAGGTGGCTCTCTGTGAGTTCGAGGCCAGCCTGGTCTACAGAGTGAGTTCCAGGACAGCCTCCAAGACAATACAGAGAAACCCTGTCTCGAAAAAAAACAAAAAAAAAAACGTTGTTTTATGTTTTGGTGTTTTACCATGGGTATCAGATCCCCTGGAACTGGAGTACCATGTGGGTGCCGTGTGGCACTGGGAATTGACCTCTGGAAGTGCAGCCAGTGTTCTTAACCACTGAACCATCTCCCCAGCCCCTTGAATTCCTTTTTGTGCAGAGTAAGAGACACATGTCTAACTTTATTCTTCTATACATGGGCATCCAGTTTTCCCATCACTGTTTGCTGAAAAGGAAACATTCATTTCCAACTAATGTTTTTGTCAAAAATTAGGACTATACATGTATGAAACTGTCCAACAATAAATAAAAATATCTTAAAGCAATTGTAAAGATTAACAAAAAGTATGTCTGAAAATCCCACAGTGAAACCCATTACTTTTTATGCTAACTCAAAATTAATACTTAATGAAGACACTGTCCGTAATCATTTCTAGAAAACACTGAAGCTGGGCTGAGAAGATGGCTCAGTGGGGAAGAACAGTTGCTGTACAAGGACAAGAATAGGAAAGAGTTCAGATTATCTACACCTCCATAAAATTTCAGATGTGGCCCTGTATACCTGAAACCCTAGTGCTGATGCTCGGGACAGGAGTAAGACAGGAGGATCTCTCCACTTTGTAGGCCACCAGCCTAGTCAAAAAACAGTGCGCTCCGGGTTTTGCAAAAGCCCTTGTCTCAAGAGAAGAAAGCAGAGCACAGAAGACGAGGGTCCCAGATATCAGGCTTCTGCAGCAAGTGCCTTTCCCAACTGAGCCGGCTCACTAGCCCCTTTGATCTTGTTTGATACAGGCTCTCACATACCTCGGATAGTCCTGAACTCCCTACATAACCAAAGCTGGCCTAAACTCCTAATCCTCTTGTCTCTGTGTCCTAAATTCTGATTACAGGTTTCTGCTACCATGGTAGTTTTTAAAAAGGAAAGAAAGATGCAGAGGCAGGCGGATCTCTGTGAGTTCGAGACCAGCCTGATCTACAAGAGGCTGTTCCAGAACAGCCTCCAAAGACACAGAGAAACCATGTCTCAATCCGCCCTCCCTCCCAAAAAAAGCGGAAAAAAAGAAAAAGAGGGAGAGAGGGAGGGAAAGAGGGAGGGGGAGGGAGGGGAAAGAGAGAAGGAAGGAAGGAAGGAAGGAAGGAAGGAAGGAAGGAAGGAAGGAAGGAAGGAAGGAAGGAAGGACGGATGGTTGGATGGAGGCTACTCTTCTTAGCTAGGCAGGGTGAATTTCATCGTGGCTGCTGTACAGCTGTGGACATGACACTCGCAATGACTTTGGCTCAGTTGTACAGCAAGCAGATGAAAGAGCAGGATATCAGGCCTGAGGTTTGGGGATTCCTTCCATGGCTTTTCAACACCATCCCTGAGCAAAGATGCCATAGAGGGTGGAGTTTAAAACCATGCCTGTGTGAGGCACGGACTCAGTCTGTGATCAGTGAGCTGGGTCACCTGTCTTTGGTGGTTTCACTCTTCTCCTTGGAAACTCCAGATTTGGGCTAGACAGTACAATGACTATGAGCTAGGCTGCATGTCACTGTTATGGGTCACAGTGGTGGCCAATTCATTTTCCATTCTGGAGGCTATCGCTGAATTCTACTTGCAAAATTCGAAATTTAAAGGCACGCCCGTGCTTCCTTTAGGAGGGCCTTTAAGGACCACCTGTTTCATTTTAAAACAACAATAACAAAAGAAAATAAGAAATACAGGATGGCAATTCAGGCTTACATTTTGATAAAGCAGGGCTGGTATCATTTTTTAAATTGTTGTCTGCCCCTCAGAAGAAAACTAATTTAAAGGAACTATCAATTTTCCTTTGTCCTGCCATTAAAGAACTCATATTTCCTCTAACTTATGGCATATCAACAATCACTTTATTTCAGTTAGGAAAGTGTCCAGATCATATTGATCAGTAGACTACTTTAAAATTACAGATTCCAAGCGCCTCCACTGACCTACCCAATAATAATGTTCAGGTGCAGAACCTAAAAATATTAATTTTAACAAGCCATCAGATGATTCTTATACTCAGCCAAGTTTGCAATTAGCCGATGCAGAGGTAAAGACAGCTTTGCAAAAAAAAAAAAAAAAAAAAAGCCTGATTCTGGAGATTGAAGTCTAAGAATGGGCAGCTCCAATGGGTGACAGTGACACAAGCAGGACATATCGCTCAGGCCGTTTGCATCGTGGATCATAGTTTGAACACCCTTTCTCTGGTTATGTGCTGAAAGGGTGTTCAAACCATGATCCACAATGCAAGGGGCCTGAGCGATTTTAGACTCATTATTTCCCTTCAAAGGCATTCCCTAAGGAACTCCCACTCGTTTCTACAGCGATGCTTAAAGATTCACAGAGATTGCCCAAAAGATAGCACCACCCTGGGGACCCAACTTTTATATATGGACCGGTTGAGGGGTACTCATCAAACTTCAGGAGGTTATGGTTTCCTTTGAAAAACACCGAGGGCCACAGCAGGCCGGCCTGGAGGGGGCGGGCCATGCGAGCCTCAGAACCGCCCTCCAGGCCAGAGGAGGGGAGAGGGAAGTCCCAGCCTGAAGGTGTATCAGCTACAGGCAACTCCTTCCAGCACTGCAAGCTGTGAGCTTCAAGTTGCTAGTTGTGAGCACCCGCACTGAGGCAGTGAGCAGCAGCACCCAGAGCTACCATGGCCTACTGCCGGCAGGAAGGGAAGGATCAAGTCATATTTGTGACCAGAGGAGACCATGAAAGTCCCAGCACTGCAGAGCTGGTGGTTGACGACCCCAGCGATCCCTATGCGGAGTACGGGTTGATACTGCCAAACGGAAAAATTAATTGGAATTGCCCGAGCCTTGGGGGAATGGCCGACGGCCCCTGTGGAGAGCACTTCAAGTCTGCCTTCTGCTTCCACTACAGCACAGAGGAACTCAAGGGATCCAACTGTATAGAAGACCAGTTCCAGGCCATGCAGGAGTGCATGGAGAAATACCCAGACATCTACCCCTGGGGAGAGAAGAATGAGAACAAGGGCGAGCACAAGGGTGACCCCTACGACTTCTACGAGGAGAGTGAGGAGGACAAAGAGGTCGATGAGGAGGAGGAGGACCGTGACGACTACTACGTGGATGATGAGGAGGACGACTATGACGACTACTACGTGGGAGGTGAGGAGGAGGACTACTCCGAAGGGAATGAAGAGGAGGAGGATGAGTACTACGACGAAGACTACTACTACGACGAGGGCGACTACTATCAAGAGGGTGACGACTACTGCTACGAGGAAGAAGAAGCCAAGGACTTCTACCACAGAGTTCACAACTATAAGCGGGACAGAGAAGAAGAGGAAGAGCGTGCTTACTTCGAGGTTGACTACAATGAGGAGGAGGAGGAAGAGGAGCCAGAAAAAGCGGTGAAGGAAGCCGTTGCCACTAAGGCCTCTGCTGCAGAAAAGCAGGAGTCTAGTGACTGAAGGCCCCGGATCACAGCTGCCACGCATTTGCTTAGCCACAGGACTTTCTGCTCAATGAACGCCTTTCAATAGCCCTCCATGAAAGCTTCTTTCCCTCTGGTGTTCTATACACTGTAATAGAGAAAATAACTTTTGATTATCAGGGGTCTTGGCGGCTTGCCATACACCCTGAAGAAAAGAGGTGTGTACGCGTGCGCCTGCACCCTGCTTAAACCTCCCGCCAGCACTAGGCCACTGCTGAACTGTCTTATCTGACTGCCCTGGATTCTGCTACCTTGAAATAACGTGAACTTTCTCAACAGTCAAAGCCGTTACTCAACATAGTCTCTTGTGAGTAAACTGATTTATGCTGACCCGTTGTATCCCTTTTGGTAGATTTTATAACTCTTTGGGAAATGAAGTAGAGGCCCAAACACCTTCCTTTAATAATAGCTGGTGTGAGGCCATCCCTGCTGGAAAAGGCCAGCGAGTAGACCCTCCCATTGGAGTGTGGCATCTGCTATGCTCCATCCCGGATATACTTGGTTTCGGTGTTTGAAGTGCATCCACTCTCTTGGGTGTCTACAGTTGGAAGGTGGAGTTTGGATCCTTTAACTCCTAGTGCATTGCCAAGTAAAAGGAGAGGCTGCTTTGGGGGTTTTGCTCTTTGTTGTCTTACCGTTTCAAAAGGCCTGGTGTGGAGCTCCTGTTCACTCCATACACTGAGTTGTAACATTCTCGAGATGTGGAGACCAAACTGTTGCCTGAGAGGCAGCCAAAGGAGGATGTGATCTGAATGAAGTACTCAAGGAGAAATGATTACTGAGAGAGAGAGAGAGAGAGAGAGAGAGAGAGAGAGAGAGAGAGAGAGCAGAGACAGAGAGACAGAGAGACAGAGACAGAGACAGAGACAGAGACAGAGAGTGTTCTAGGATTGGGAGTGGGATATGTGGGAGAGAGAATTTGTGGACTTGTGTATACCACAGCATTGATGTGGAGGTCAGAGAGCAGGCCTTGGGCGTCTGTGTCTGCTTTCTACCTTGCTTGAGACAGGGAGGGTGTCTGTTGTTTTTCTGTTCCATATGCCAGGCCAGCTGGCCCTCAAGCTTCTGGGAATTCTTTCTCTGCCTCCCATCACCCTTTAGGAGTACTGGGATCACAGGTTATCATGTCTTGCTTCTCTATTGGTTCTAGAGATTCAAACCCAGTTCCTCATTCCTGCATAGCAAGCACTTTTATCCACTGAACCATTTCCCAGCCTTTTTTCTTTCTTTTGAAATGAGGTCTTGCTATGTGGCCTAGGATAGCCTTGAACTCTTGATCTGGCTTTCGTTTTCCCAAGTGTTGGAATTACAAATTTTACTGCCACACTCTGCCATTAGACCTGGTTTGGGCACCTAAGAAAATCATTTAGACTAGTGAGATAGCTTGGCAAGTATAGGCACTTGCCACATGATAACCTGAGTTGAATCCCTGTGACCCACATATTGGAAGTAGAGAACCCCTGACCTCTACACACAAACAGTGGCACATGCAGACCCATCACACACACACACACACACACACACACACACACACACACACACACACACACACGCACACACGCACACACACACACACTGAATAAATAAATGTGCTCTCATCTGTAATATAGAGAAACTGGACTAGCTTGGTCCAGAAGAGGCAAATAGAACTAGAAAAAGCAACTGAACTATTAAGGTCATTTCTCCCATGCAAGACTAAACCAGGGCTAAGCCTGCTTAGCTTCCAAGATCAAACAAGATTGGGCATGTTCATGGTATGGCTGACACCTAAGGTTGATTTTTCAATTGTATAACATTGATAGAATCCCCTGGGAAGATTTTGAAAGTGACCATTTTCCAGTCACCAGCACGAGTTTATGAAGCAGAATTTCTGGAGAACACAAGCTGCTGTCTTTAAAATCTCCCCAGGTGACTTCAGTGAATAGCCTCTGCTCACCAGATGATGCCAAGCAGCATCCAGCAGAACAATTTTGATTAGTCATTCTGCACGTGTTTGTTTCTGTATGCCCTAGGAGGCAGTACCTGTCTTATGTGACACACAGCTTCTATTTATGGAGGACCTACTATTGTGAGTTTAAAGTCCTTACTGGCAGTAAATCATCTGCTGTGACTCAGGAGAACATTCTGATTAATGAAAAATAGTTCAAATCTCCCCCTCACTGACAACACTGACGTCACACTCTGGGATCACGAGGAGCCATAAACATGAATGAGACAAGAATACAAATAGGCAAGGATGGATATGCTCACTGAAGAGATCCCCCCACAAGAGCTGTTCTTTCTAAGTGAATTCCAGGACATTTTGCACCAGCCCCAATGTTAAGGCTCTGAATTTCCAAAGGAAACTCACCTGGTTATCAGGCAATGGGGACCTGTGCTGATACTGAATTGCCCTTTTTGGATGGACTAACTTATCATTTGACCTCTTCATTTGTTAATCGTCCACAGGTCCTTGGAGTACAGCACCATCAGAGAAACTACAAAAGGAAATGGCTGGAATATGGCATCTTGTCTTCAGGCTTGGGGAAGAAGATTTAATGACTTGATTTCCTGTTCACTTGGTGTTTTCCCAGGGGTACCATTTTACCATAGACTGTGGGTCTGGCCAGCTGACTCATTTTGTCCCAGCATCCCACATTCCACATGGCACATGGTCTTTTCCTGGGTAGTGGTTTTTCCTCCATTTAATGAGAAACTACCGAGGTAGGCGAAATGTGTCTCCCTGCCTCTACAGGATTTGTTTTGCGTCTCTTGATGGGGGTTCTCTTTCTTCCTGTCCTCAGACACCCAATGGTTTCTCACCTCCTGCCCCATGCACTCATAAAACAAAGTAATTAAAACCACAGAATCTCAGAAAAGACCTTCTATTCTGACTCCAGCCCCCATGTATCAAGGCAGAGAAGAGGTACTTTTAGAACAAGGCCCCTGGAATAAGCAGCTGTTGACTAAGACCTGTACTCAGGCCTGTGTCTATGCCCTTTGCATGTTTTTGGAACTCCAGGCTTTCCCCCTAGGGTGTTCACATTGCTCTTAGACCTGTTAAAACATGAAGAGCCCTGGAGGGCTGTCCAACAGACAAGGTCCCAAGGGTGTCCTCAGGCGCTGTCTGCAAAGCTAAATATTTTGTTCATGTGGCAAGTAGACATGACAGTTGAGCATGAGCTGAGGTGCTATGTCTGAGGTAGGTCTCCTGATGCTGGCCTTCTACTTGGGCATGAGAAATGACAAGACTCCTCGTGGTCATGCTCTTCGGTTTTAAGGTATGGTGAGCAGATGTTAGGAAGTGCATAGCACTATGGGAATTTGCAGGGTTTGTGTCCCTGGATGGTACAAGCACACGAGCATTCCTGCAGCACCCTCAAGACGATCTCTGCACATCTGACAAAGCTGCTGAGGCTGTGTCTATGTAACTCCAGGCAATTGTGCTTCTCACATGTTAACCTCCATGTTCTCCAGTCCGCCTGGAGCCAGCCCTTGCTTCTCCATTTTCCCATAAGTCTCAAAACGTTGCCTAGTTACCCATCCCCATATATTTTTTCTCATCTGGATCTCTCTCTACTAGGGCTATGGGGAAAACAAAGTAATTCCCCAATATTCTCTTATCTTTTTTAGATTTAAGATTCTCTCTCTCTCTCTCTCTCTCTCTCTCTCTCTCTGTGTGTGTGTGTGTGTGTGTGTATCTACCATATGTAATGTGGGGTGTGGGTGCCCATGCAGTCCAGGAGAGGACATAGGATCTCTTGGTGCTATAGTTACAGGCTGTCTGATATGAGAACTTGGGTTCTCTGGAAGAGCAGCAAGAGCTCTTAACCACCAAGCTACCTCTACAGTTCCATCCTTTCCTTGTATTTCATTCAAGCCAAAATGACTTACGTAGCAAATGAACATTTTTTGGCCTTTAGTAACCGCCAGAAAACACAGTTTCAAATTTTTTTCAAGAGAGAAAAAAATGAATGAGGCATAGTCATCTATCTTCACTGATATAAAAATGACTTGTTTGAGGAGTAAATCCCACCCAAAGCCCAACATAACAGCTTCATTTGGCCCTTCCTCCACCATGGAGAAGGCCTCCACCCACTTACATCCATCCCCATCTAACATAATCATATGTGAGTCCTACAGGAGACCTGTCAGAAATTGTTGGCATTAATGGTGAACATGTACGACCTCACAATTCAAAAGCACCTTCATATGAGATTCACAGATGAAACTCCAAAATTCTGTCTTAAATGATTCTTCTTTTCTTTTCCAGGAAAAACCAACTCAGGCCATGAGCTCAACTTTTAATCCTCTGTGGAAAGCTTCAAAGCAGGAAATGTGTGCCTCTGATGAAGAAAGGGGTGAACATGTTTTGTAAAAGTGATTTCCTTTGGGTCCATCTTCCTTTTCTGGGACAAAAAATAACTAAAGTGATTTATGGAGCAGCCAAATATCTTCTTTCACCTTTGAGTTCTTAGAGAAATGTATTTTTCTCATGAGACAAGAAAATTTCATTTTCTTATACATGTTCTGTTTTATGACCTAATATTTCCCATAAAAAGGATCTTAGAGAAAATCAGGGGACCAAAACTAAATAATGCTATTAGTGGTGAATGGGAGCTCCATGCCTTAGGGCTACAACCCCGGGCAAAATCAATTCTCAGCCAGTATGGTCATCTGTAAATGATGTGAATTTGCTTATTTTTGCAGAGTGTTCTTTTTGCTTAAAGTTGTAGAAAGAAAATAATGTTGAAATTAGATGATTTACCATCAGTCCCCTGTAAGAATTAAAATTCTATTTGACTAATTTGGTTACCTCCATAACTGGAAGGGTACTTTTAAATGAACAAATTGATTATTGTTTAATGTTTAGAATACCTACCATTCGGAGGGTTTGACAAAATGAACAGGGAAAAGCAAGCCTTCACTGACAAAAGGCTGTTACCCCCAATATACAACCAGATATTAAAAACCAACAATAAGAAAATGAACAATCAGACTTAAAATTAACAAAACTCACGAACAGACACTACTAAATAAGATCCCCGACTCCTAGCTTTTGGCCAGAGAAACTAGCATGATGGAATTGCCATTTCCTGAGATTGGAATACTCCCTGGGCAATTGTATACTATGTCACCTTCCCCAGGACCATTTCCTTACTTCCTTTCCTCTAGATCGGCCCACTGATGTATGGACTGATAACCTCAGAGCATGCTACAGTTCTAAGTTAGGGCTGGTCAAAATAAACACTGATGAGATCTGGAAAGCAGAACTGGAGCATCAGCCATTATACCTTAAAGGTTTGTGCCAGGTACCACTGCAGCTCACACACATTGTTGCTGAGCTGGTACCTCACCCTGTTAACAGTGTCCAGTGATGATATGGAGCAGGGGTGAGCAATAACTGGAACCTCAGCTCCCACTGGATCTCTTCCCTTGACTTTTCTGAATCTAGGGCCAGGTTTCTGTACAGCTCAGTGAAAAGGGAGCTAGCTCCTTCTATAGATTACCTCTATCACCAAGGTTCAAGGCAGTGTGTGACCAGACATACTTATCCTCCCTGGTCCCAATTAAACATTGTACATTCCTGGTGACCCCTGGATTTCTTTTGCTTCATACCCCGCTTTTCTTTCACATTGCTTGCACTGCTAAGCTGCTATAGAATCAGGTTCACTCTCTGAGAAAGAAGCAATAGCCCTCCATAGATTCCAGGGGCTTAATGATCCCTGGTGGATAACAACTTTGTTCTTATCCTCCAAATGTTTTCTCCCACACCTTACTTCCCTAGCTTCTCCGTGATCATATGGAGCCTGATTCCTATAAATAAATATGTTATTCCATAGCACACACCATGGTTCCAATTCCTTGTTGAAACGCCACCGATGCACTGCCAAAGGAGCAAGTTGTGATCATGATCTCAATTTTGATGTGGAAAATGTAAACTTCCTACTCAGCATCCAGGTGAATATTTTGAATAGGAAGCTTGATGCTGTGAGTAGTATGTGGTCCAGGCTAGATGTGGAAATTGGCAATCCATGACTGTACAGGTAAACACTAATGGCATCATCAAAGTTTTCAGTGTATAGATCAATATCAATGCATAGGTGATCTTAAAGCATTAAGAGCTGGCATGTTATAATAAAGGGCAAGGAGGACCATATTGGATTCCATGGCAGGCAAGGGTGACCTAGGTGGAGGAACAAACATGCCAGGCAGAAAAAAGCTTAGTGAGAAGTTTTAATAGAAAAGGAGAGGAAAGAGAAAAGAGGTGAAAAGACACAGAGGACAGAAGAGAAGAAGGAGACAGGAAAATTCCTGTCTGCCCCAGGGGAACAGCAGGAAAGAGAGAAGGAAAGAGAGAGACAGCGTAAGTGGGCAGGGGTCTTTCTTTTAAAGGGGTCCTTTGCACCTACGTGCAGACTACACAATCATGGAGCCCTGGGCTGTCCAGGATACTGCCTGAGTGCATTCTGCCAGGTGATAGGGGAGGCCAGCATAATGCCTGAATCCTTAGATTCCCACCTTTATTTATTATTTAAATGATGAAGAGTTAGGCGTGGCAAGTTAGAGAATAAGGGCGTTGAGTTCTCAAGACTACTTCCTGCTGAACCGGGGGACATTGACCATCTTTGGGGGACCTGAGAAAGCTGGAGTGCTGCCACATCCTGGGGTATCCAGCTGTTTCATTGCAGTTCAGGCTGTATGGAACTCTCTGGCGCCTCTTAGACCTAGCAAGATATTGGCAGAGCAGAGGACAAGGTTTAAAAAATCAGCAAAAATACTGGATAAAGAATGCTCTAATATCAAAAATATAAAGTGTCAGATGTGGTTTCTCACATTTGCAATCCCAGCATTTGGAGGCTGAGACTAGAGAATTGCCATGAGTTCAAAGCCAAAGTGAGTTACATAGTGAGTTTCAGGCCAGCCCAGACTATAATGTGAAACTCTGTCTCAAACAACTGAAAAAGAAGAAAAAGAAGCAGAGAGGACAGTACAGTTAGGTGTCAAAGTTCAGGCCAATAACCCAAGCACTCTGGAGACTGAAGCAGGAGACTCACAAACTCCAGGCCAGCCTGGGCACCCTGTCTTGGCAGAAAAAACAACAGTATTCATAGTAGTAAGTCATCAGTTAAAAACTGGCTGAGTAATGAAAGCGACAGGGACATAACAAGCCTTCCCTTGTAAGGATCTATGAATAGCTGATGACTGCTGGGGACCGGTTTTCTTCAAGGGTGTAGCCCCATAGGTCAATCCAGCCTCAGTAGACAGCCCCACACTCAGGTACATATGGGACTCAGGAGTCCATTTAAGAAAAAGACATGAAGTTGGAAGGAGGAGAGGGGGGGTGGGTGATTTTGCAGGAGTTAGGGGGTGACAAGGGTTATTGATATGATCAAAATGCATTGTATTAAATTCTCAATGAATTAATTAAAATGTACATATTTTAAAGCTGGTTGGATAAATAAATTTTTAAACCACCAAAAAACTGGTACAGGATGTTTAAGAAGAAACCATGGGAAAATTTGCTTTATGCTAAAAGAGAAAGCACTGAGTAAAGGCTAAGGGGAAGTACTAAGCTGAACAAAAGGTCTCAGTTGCTGAATAAACCTGGAAAAGCTGGTGATCGTTATAGAGTGTTCCCAAAGCAGATAAATAAAATACTTTGCTAGTCTATTTTTAATGCACATTCCAAAGATTTGGTGATGGTTTTCTTTGTATCTGACCACAGACTCTATTAATTAAGAAAAATGGTAAGTTTTAGAACATTAGCAAAAACAATTGGAATAAAAATAAAACAGGAAGCAACCTATCATTTGCACTATGCTCAGTGTGGAAAGGGTTGTGTGGCTGGGGGGCTACTGCCTCGGTTTCCAAAGCTAGACTTGGTATATTAGAGGGGTGATTTACAGCCACAGATGATCTTGTTCCCCCAGGAACATTTGGAAATGCCTACACATACGTTTGGCTGTCATAAAAGGCAGGAGGCTGCTCCTGACATCCAGTGGGTAGAGATTAAGCACAATTATAAACAACCCACAAAACACAGGATGGCTCCCAGGGTGGGTGGAGAAAAGGCAGAGTGAGAAATTACAACCTTGGTATGGCTACTTATCACAAGAAGTAGAGCACATTTTTTTCATTTTTACGTGTGTGTGTGTGTGTGTGTGTGTGTGTGTGTGTGTGCGCGCGCGGCGCGCATGCCTGAGGAGACCCTAAAAAGGCATCAGACTCCCTAAAGCTGGAGTTGCAGGTGGTTTTAAGCTGCCTGACGAGGGAGCTAAGAGCAGTTAGAGTAGCAAACTCTTTTAAATTTTAACCACAAAAAGGAAACAAAAAAGACAAATGGTGAAAAAGAAGGAGGAGACAGACCTTGGATAAAATAAAAAGATAGAAAAAGAAGGTGCCACAGGATAGATAATAAAATGTGATACATGTACACAATGGCATTCCGTTGTAAAGGGAAATGAGATTTTTACTGGAAAATGGATGTATCTGGAAAGTATAATGCTAATCAAGGTGACTCAAACTCAGAGAGATAAAAAACAACAGCAAAAACCCACTCATAGGTCCTCCCTTACAACAAATACTAGCCTGTAATACTGTAAGAATGAATAAATATAAATAATGTGTGAGGGAAGCCCCCAAAACTGGAAAGGAGCAGGAGAGAGATGATTGGTGATGAGGAAGATTGGGGGGTCATCAAAGGATTCATGGGACATGAAAGAGGAAAAGAGAAGGCTACAAGGGACCAGGGCTAGTGCATTGAGGAGATGTGCAGTAGGAGGATCACGAACTGTAGGAAAGGGACTTGCAGGGAGGAGGGGGTGCGGGTAATAGGATGGGAGGAAGAGAGGGTGGAGGTGACAGTAGTATATACTCTATAGAGTATTTATTTTGCGTACGTATGAAGTTGTCAAAATGAATTTAATGCAAGATTTGTGTTTTAAAAGGAAAAGGGAGATTAATATATGATGCAAGGCTTATGGGCTCTGAGACACTTGAAGCCCCAGTAAACAACACAGGGAAGATATAGAAGCAGTAAGTGAAGACATCAGCAACGGGAAGTGCTAGCCGTTTCTCTTACAGAGCATTCTGGAGATTTGCTTTACTCAGTGGGGGGCTGAAATAGACTAAGTCTCAAGCCAACCAGTAGACTGTTAGCTCGGAATAAGATATATGGAAAAGTATCTTCAGTTTCCCAGTCTGGGTACCCTATACTTCTAAGATCTTCATTGGCCCATTTAATGAACTGCAGCATGGAAGGGAAGCAGAGGCTGGGAATCAATGTGTAAAGACGAATGTAGTTTACTAACTGTAAACTAGGTCAGTTATCTCTCAACTGAATGAATTCTCTTACTCCTCTAGAAATATCTGTCAAGCCATGAGTTTTCTCATCCTGTGCTGCTGTGAGGAGAGGGCTGTCCATAGAGTTCTTAAATCCAGCCAGTGTGCTCATTAACATGCTTGGTGTAATTTAAAACAAACAAACAAAACCACTTCACCTTATTGGAAAGATCAGGCAGTAAACCAGCTCAAGTGAAAGGGACAGTAAACCATGATGAACACTACCAGGCCATCTGATGCCTACAGAAGAACACACACAAGTCTATAGTCCTCTGGGATAATTGTGGCTCAGGCTGCTCTGGGGGATGTCCAGTGGGAATCAAAGAGCAGACTATCTTTGGTCTGCGGATTTTAGCAGCACAAAATTGCCTGCTCCACTTAGATGGGATACAATCTCACTTACCCACGTGCCCTGACTCATTACATAGCACGTGTCTATGTCGGGGAGCATGAACGGCCGACTCATACCACTTACCTTCAGTATTAAAAAAAAAAAACCATGGCCTGAGCCCTACCCATTTCCTGAGGTGTTGTCATTCTGTACACACATACAGGGTCGTACCGTGAGGGTGGGAGACACTCAGTTTGAGGGTATCCTCAAGCCACATTGAGGTGGATGCCCTTGTCTGAGACAAGCACAACTGTCCCAGAGTAACGCTGCTGGGACCGTCCCAGCCAATGAGACAAGTGTGGATAAATGTCCCAGCTTCATTGCTTCCGGGATAAAACCAACTGAGGCTCATTATGCACTGTTTCCTCTGAGTCTCCAGGGGGGACCAGGCCTACATCACCCTTTAGCTTCTTCGTGTCTTCTGTCTGGTCCGTGACTCATCTCCTTGTTTCCTCAGCAGTCCTTCTTCAAACACATGGTCAGAAAACTGCTTGTGCTCCTGCCCTCTGCTCGGTGAATGCTGAAATCCCATGAGACGCAGGCAAAACACAGTTAATGCAACAACCGAATACTTGTGATCATTTTTAATTCTCAACTTGATACAGGCTAGAATCTCCTGGAGTCTTTTTTCTCTCAAGTTTTATTTTATTTTTAGCCATGTGTATGTGTATATATCTGTATATGAGTATGCACATATGAGCGCAGGTGCCTGCAGAAGCCAGAAGAGGGCATTACATCTTTTAGACCTTGAATTACAGGCATTTATGGGCCACTGGTAGTAAATTCTGGGAACTGAACTTAGGTCTTCTATGGGAACATAGAGGTTGTTAAAAGCTGAGCTATTTCTCCAACCCTAAGGGGAAAGAGTCTTAATTGGGGGGATTATCTAGATCAGGTTGACCTGTGGGTATGTATGTAGGAAGTTGTCTTGATTGTCCATTAATGTAGGAAGACCCAGCCCAGAGTGGGCAGCACCATTCCCTAGGCCAGGGGTCCTGAACTATATAAGAGAGGAGAAAAAAAGCCATCCAGCAGGCATTCTTTCTCTCTGCTCTTCACTGTGACATGCCATGACTAGGTGCTTTGAGTTGCTGCCACTGTGCTTCTCT